GAAGCTTTATTTCGCTGGATACACGATTCTTGGATGGAATCCATTTTCTTTCAGCGTTTGAAATATGTTGTTTCAGGATCTTCTAGCTTTCAGAGTCTGTGTTGAGAGATCAGCCATTAACCTGATTGGTTTACCCCTAAATGTAATCTGCTTCCTTTCTCTTGTAGCTTTTAAAATTCTCTATTTATTCTCTATGTTAGGCATCTTCATTATAATGTGTCTTGGCGTGGATCTCTTGTGATTTTGCACATTCAGCATCCTGTAGGCTTCTAGGATTTGGGAGTCTGTTTCATTCTTCAAGTCTGGGAAGTTTTCTAGTATTATTTCATTGAACAGATTGCTCATTCCTTTGGTTTGGACCTCTATACCTTCCTGTATCCCAATAACTCTTAAGTTTGGTCTCTTTATGTTATCCCATATTTCTTGGATGTTCTGCTCATGGTTTCTTAACAGTCTCGCTGAGCTGTCTATGTTCTTTTCAAGTTGAAATACTTTGTCTTCGTTGTCTGATGTTCTATCTTCTAAGTGTTCTACTCTGCTGGTAATACTCTCATTTGAGTTTTTATTTGGTTTATTGTTTCCTTCATTTCCAGAATTTCTGTTTTTTTTTTTTTTTTTTTAAATATATCCTCTATCTCCCTGTAGAGTTGATCTTTTGCTTCTTGGATTTGTTTATGTAATTCATTGTCAAAGTGATCTTCCATTGTCTAATTTTGATGTCTAATGTCTTCCTTGAGACTCCAGATCATCTGTAGCATGTATATACTGAACTCTTTATCTGACATTCCATCTGCTGCAGATATTACCTCTTCTAATGTTGAATTGACCTGCATTGTTTGTGGTCCTTTCTTTTCTTATCTTTTTATACTACTCACGTTTCTTTCCAGCTTTGTGAAACTGTTGTGTTATTGATTTTCCCCCTATATATTTATATTGCTTTTGTATAGTTCCAAAGTCTCTCTTTTGTGGAGGAAAGACAATGTTAACAGTTCCCAATACCAATAGTACATCATCTAAGCACAGGTTTTCATTATTAATACAATTATAGATAGCCTCTATGTCTACCGATGTTGGCTTCAATTATCATTTAAAAAATATAGTCATTAGTTTTATAAAAGGCATACCATTTCTGGTAGCATGAAAAAAACTGAATTTCAGGTGTAAGATGTTATGTTTAGGGGGAAAGGAGTGAGGGTATGGGGTTAATCTAACTTAGCAACTTTGGAGAGCTCTAACCAATAGACAGGTAATTTATAGAGGAATGTATAGATTCAAACTCCTATCTGTATTTAGATACCTACTTATAGTTAGTAATATTTAGGGGGTTGAAAGTGGGATAGAGGGAGTAAGAAGGAAAGAAAAAAAATAACAAGGAAAGAAAGAGAAAAAAGAGAGAGGGAAAAAGAAAAAAAAAATTAAAAATAAGTCTTTCAGAACTCTTATTTTTTTTTCTTCCAGTAGGTGGCGTTGCCTATTCCTAGCTTGAGTCTCTGCGTTCAGGGTGGTGGAGGTAGCAAGTGTGAGAGGACTTGAGCTTCCACCTGTAGCCTCTCTACTTTTAGTCTCTGAGATGGAAACCAGGTGCCTGATCCATGGCAGAACTGAGCTGGTAGGCACGCCCACCGGTTGATGGGTTTTAAGGGTTGGTGGGATTTTCCAAGATGAGTTCCATCTGTTTTTCTCGTGAGGTGTTTGATGAGGTGGGGGGTGTTGGGAGACCTTATGTTTGTTCAGAGCTCGGTCTGGTGTCCTGCAAGCCAAGCTTCTGGCGGGCGGGCGGGGCGGATCCCATTTAGATTGTTTACCAAAAGATCAAATGATCTCTGTGAGATATATCAGCTCATTCTCAGTGCAGATTTGCTTCAGTTATGGTAATGTAGATTTTCAGAAACATATCTGCCTGATCGCATTCACAAGTAACTGATCTTCACTATACATCCTGTTATAATGGAAGCAACCATGGCTGACTTTTCCTTGCCAAGGGATTCTGCTAGCTAGGTGTAGTGAAACACATCTGTGATCCTAGTGACTCAGGAGACTGAGGCAAGAGGATCCCAAGTTCAAGACTAGCCTCAGCAACTTAGTGAGGCCCTAAGCAACTTAGTGAGACCCTGTTTCAAAATAAAAAATACAAAGACCTGGGATATAGATCAGTGGTAAAGGACACCTGGATTCAAAGCCTCCCACCCATGGCCAAAAAAAAAAAGACATTTTGCTTTTTCTGTGATTTCTACTGCATCATGTTCTTGATTCTGTCTGTCTTGTATTTTCCAGCTCTTAGGGCATCATGTTTCTCTAACCTTTTCCCACAACATAGTCATCTCTTCTGTAACTTCCTGTAACTCTTCCAAAACTGAGGACATGGTTGATCTGTCAGGGCATGCTAGATATAACCATGCAAGGGAGGAAATAGAAAATGCTCACCACCCCCATGGAGCACACACCCAACCCTAAGTCATACTGTGGCCTGCTTATGGCATTTGGCTCAATTCTGACTATTTAAAAAAAAATCTAGCATTATAAATATATATGTATTTGATAAAAGTGACAGTTATGTGCCCCTCCCACACACACCAAAAAAGTCTCACATGTTTGGATAACTATAGTATTTCACACTGCTATAGTGAAAAGCATGGTGCAGGTTGGAGAGGCTGAGATACTGGCAAGAATATTATAATATATAGCTCAATTGAACTATGAGGGTCTCAACTACTATTCTGGCAATAGTGATGGAGATGTGGGAATGGATTAAGTAATATTTTAGAAGCAGAATTCACAGAACTTGATCAAGTGGGGCTGAGCAGAACTGTAGGCAATGAAACCATTTACTAAGAATCAAAATGAAGAAAAAGTTAAGGGATAAGGTATGGAGAGAGGGGAAATATATGGTATATATGTATGGGGGATGGGTAGTATACAAAAAGGAAAGTCAGTTCAGATATGGATATATTCACTTGGGCTCAGGAGAAAATTGAGTTAGGTTAATTATCTGGGTATCATCACTATAGTAGYATAATGCATGGATTAAATAGGATCACATATAGTAGGAAATTTGACATTTAAGACTAAGGAAGAGGAGTTGTTGATAGAGACTGAAAAAACAAAACAAAACAAAGCAAAACAAAACCTGATCAGAGAGGCTAGGTAGCAACCAAGAAGGAAAAATGACAGAAATCAAGACAGGAAGGGAATTTTAGGAAAGGATAGGTCAATAATGACAAATGTTGCAAAGTCAAAAAGAGAAGAGTTTGGCAAATAGGTAGCTGGAGAACACAGAAAAATTTGAGTGGACTTGTGAGGACAGAGATGAAGATGCAGTGAAGGAGTCACTGAGAGGAAAAGTGAAAATACTCTAAGTGTTGTTGGGAAAAGACAGCCATCTAGATAAAAAGAGTAGCCAGAGGGGAAAGCACAAGTCAAGAAGGGCTTTTTTTTTTTTYCCCCTTTTGGGTTGGGAAAGACTTGAGTATGTTTATATACTGAGGAGAAAAAGTTCATGTTAAGCAAACTTGAATAGGTAAAGATGCTTATTCCTGAAGAATAAGGCATGGGGTTAGGGATATGGTTCAGTGGTTAGAGCAGTTGCCCAGCATATGTGAGGTCCTGAACTTAATCCCCAGCACTGCAACAACAGAAAAGGCAAGACAGAATTARATGTCTTTAGCTATGTAGACGGGCAAGAAGGTAGTTCATGTATGAAAATTAGTATTCCTCCAGGAACTAGAAAGTAAATTACCTGTTGGGGGAAGAAGGCTAAGACAAGTTGTGGGCTACTGGAGACTGGTAAAGGTATAGCACAGATGTGAGGGAGAGGAGAAAGAGAGAGATGAGTAAGATAACTTCTGTATGATGATTGAGGTACAGCTGAATTTGTTTACCATCAACTCATTCTGTAATGCTGAGTGAGCTTTCTAGAACAATGGTTCTCAATCAGGAGGGATTCTGCACATATACCTTCACCTCCACTCCCCAACCCCTGCCCCAGAAATATTTGGCAATGTCTGGAGACATCCTTTTTTTCCTTTCCCTACAGACTTTGGGATTGAACTCAAGGCCTCACACATGCTAGGCAAACATTTTACCACTGTGCTACATCCCTAACCCTTTTTATAATTTTATTATTATTATTTGGTACTAAGGATTGAATCCAGGGGCACTTTAATCACAGAGCCACATTCCCAGCCCTTTTAAATATTTTATTTAGAGACAGGGTCTCACTAAGTTGCTTAGGGCCTCACTAAATTGCTGAGGCTGGCTTTGAATTCAACAATCCTCCTGCCTTAGTCTCCCAAGCTGCTGGGATTACAGGCATGTGCCCAGTTGTCCTTTTTTATTTTTTATTTTGAGACAGCTTTTGTTAAGTTACCCAGGCTGGTCTCAAACTTGCAATCCTCTGGCCTCATCCTTGCAAGTCGCTGGGGTCACAGGCATGTACCACCACATGTGGCTATAGACATTCTTGATTGTCACAACTAAGGAAATTATGCTACTGATATCTAGTGGATAGAAGCCAGGGAACACACTAAATATCCTACTGGACAAAGAACAGGACAAAGAAATATCCAGGCCAGATGTCAGTAATGCCAAAGTTGAGAAATCCTGCTCCAGGAGAATAGGTTGCAGAGAAATGGATTAAGGTGCAGTTGGGTTTCACTATGCAGGTGGAGCAAAAGAATAATCGCACAATTGTAGGTGGTACAGTTACTATGGAAATAATGCATGACAAGATTTAGGTTAGAAAAGAAGGACACGTCAGAAGCTGATATGCAGCACTTAGAAAACTGAAAAGTTAAGAAAACTATGGAGGGCACAAGGTTCTCCAAGCACTTAAAAAAAAAAAAAAAAAAAGCACCAGCAGCTATAGAATGAACAAAAAAGTTAAAGAGTAGTCAGAGTAGTCAAATGTAAAGGCGCCAGCCACCCTCCCACCTCAGTCATCCAAGTAACTAGGTACAGGTCTGCACCACCACATGAAGATATTATCTCTCTCTCTTTTTTACCTGTCCTTCACAGGCTTCTTTGTAGAACTCCAGCTTCTTCAATAGGTCCTCATGTTCTTCATCACAATCAGCCATCTTCTTTTGATAATATTCCAGAAGCTCCTGAGAAGGGCACAGGACAGCCAGACGATCTCTGATTGAAGGCAAGGGAGTAGACTCCACTGAATCGGCCATTCTACTCCTCCTGGTGGGACCATTGATACCAGAAGCAACACTGTGTTTGGAGGCAATTGTTGGTCTATGAAATTAGAAAGGATGTATTTGTTAAATTCTCTAAACACTTATAAAGTCTTATAATATTTAAATAAAAGGGGACTTGTGTTCTAAAAGTGCTTACAATTAAGGTTTTTATATATATATTGAAAGTGGTTAGTGAATAAACTTATAAATGTCTTCTAAGTGTCAATGGTTTAAAGCTAAATTCAAAAGATGTTAAAGACTATAAAGAGGGCTGGGGTTATGGCTCAGTGGTACAGAGCTTGCCTGGCATGTGTGAGGCCCTGGGTTCGATCCTCAGCACCACATATAAAAAAATAAAAGATCCATTGACAACTAAATATATATATATTTATAAAAAATCACTTAAAAAATGGGATATAAAATTAGAAAAACACCTAATGACCAGGTGCAGTGGTGCATACCTATAATCTCAGTGGCTTGGGAAGCTGAGGCACGAGGACTGCAAGTTCAAAACCAGCCTCAACAACTTATAGAGGCCCTAAGCAACTTAACAAGGGCCTGTTTCAAAAATAAAGAATAAAGCGGTCTGGGGATATAGATTCAGTGGTTAAGCAGCCCTGAGTTCAATCCTTGGTACAAAAAAAAAAAAAAAAAAAAAAGAAAGAAAGACCACCTAGTAACAATTAGAAATTTATCAAGATATTTGGACACGATGGTACATCCCTGTAGTCTCAAGAGACTCAGGAGGCTGAGGTAGGAGGATCACAAATTTGAGGTCAGCCTCAGCAACTTGGCGAAGCCCTAAGCAACTCAGTGAGACCCCTGTCTCAAATAAAAATAAAAAGAGACTGGGATGTAGGTCAGTTGTACAGCACCCTGGCATTCAATTCCAGTACCACTGCCCACCAAAAGATTCATCAAGACATACAGCAACAGGAACAACCACATAGATCCTAAACTCTAGCCTGAGCCTGAGCCAGGTATAGTGGTACTTGCTTGTAATCCCAACAGCTTGGGAGGATGAGGCAGGAGGATCTCAAGTTTGAGACCAGTCTCAGCAACTTAGCAAAGCCCTAAGCATCTTAGTGAGACTGTTTCAAAATAAAAAAGAAAAAGGGCTGATGTGGCTTTGTAGTTAAGCATCCCAGGGTTCAATCACCGGCACCAAAAATAAAACCAAAAACCAAAACCAAAAAACAAAAAAACCACTCACAAAAAATAACTAAACTAGCATCTGAGACTTGAATTKTGCAGATTAGGAATAGATAATATCAATGTCCAGGAAGTTTTTGTTTATTTGTTTTTAGCAAACAAGAGACTTAAGCTATACAATGAAAGTTAGAAAACAAATGATACAGAAGAAAAACACTCATTTGAAAATCAATCCAATTTGATTGTCTGTAATTTACAACAAAACAAAGTGCACATCAGAGTGAATAAACTTTATACCAGAAGCCTACAGTTATATAGTTAATGAAATGTCATTAATATACATGTTCACATCTAAGTAAGCAAGCACATACAGTAGACATTGACATTTATTCTTGGCTGGGGGTGTAAGTGTAGCTTAGTGGTAAAGACATGCACCTGAGTCTCTGGATTCAATCCTTCTTAACAAAAAAACAAACAAAAAACACTCAACTTCATGAACAAAATACCTAATATCTTCTCAACCACTGAAGTTTTGGGGGGCTAGAGTTATAGCTCAATGGCAGACACAGCATATATTTGGTAAGCACAAGGCCTTGAGTTAGATCCACAAAAGGAGTTGGGGGACTTGAAACAGAAATACTATTTTACTTAATGTTTCATATCTTCAAAGGTGGTTGCCTAATAACAACTCCCGGAAATAGGTTAATTGAACTAAAGGGTACTCCTGAGATTCAGCAGATGGGAGCTATCACACCAAGATGACGATGATGTGGCATATAGCAAATTGGTAGCAGAACCAGAATTAGAAGTTCCATGTTTATATACTGGTTGTTCCCTGTCATCCAGGATCTACTAGCAATGTGCCTAGCTCTCTCACACTAAATGAGTCCTGGTATTACCAGATAAAAGGGTTTTAAATCTAAATTCTGAACAAAATAGTAAAATAAGATCTATAATATAGCTCAAACTGAAATTTAGGAAGTACATTTCCCAAACCTTCTAGGTCCTATACTAACTTGGATTAAGGCTAAGGAAGTCTTGAATTCTTATTTTAACAATTCAAAAATAAGTAAATATCTTACTTTCTGCAGACAGGGCTGTGTGTCGGGGTAAAGTTCATGCTGTCTTATTCACACCTATGAAATACACAAAAATTCATGATTAGAAGACATTAAGAATACTATAGGATATGGAGGTTGGTCCTCTCTCCAACATTATATTTGCCTCCTAAAGAGAATGTGATGCTTTTAAATGTAGTATTCTTTAAAGTAATTCCAACTCCTAAAATTTCATGCATTTTGAAGTATCATAAAGTATTCTTCCTTATTAGTATTTTCAAATAAAATCAGAATGATATTGAATATTTGGGAGATAGCAAGAAAAGTCTCCTCGCCAGGCATGGAGGCACATACCTGTAATCCACGCTACTCAGGAGGCTAAGACAAGCTTGAAGCTAGTATGGGCAATTTAGGAAGACCCTGTCTCAAAATAAAAAGGATGTAGCTCAGAGGTAGAGTGCCCCTGGATTCAATCCCCAGTACTGGGGAAAAGAAACAAAACACAAAGTCTCCTTACTATCAATGTTACTGGCAGTAGTGGAAAACAAAAAACCTACAATCCTCTCACTGAAATTACATAAGGGAGATGCAGAAAAGTTTTCTTTCTTTTTTCTGGTGACACTGGGGATCAAACCAAGGCCCTCACACATACTAGGTAAGTGCTGTACCAGTGAACTACTTTTCCAGCCCTTTTTATTTTTTATTTAGAGGCAGGGTCTCACTGAGTTGCTTAGGGCTTTGCTAAATTGTTGAGGCAGTCTTCAAACTTGTGATACTCCTGCCTCAGTCTCCTAAACTACTGGGATTACAGGTACATGCCACTATGCCTGGCTTGTAGTGTATTCAACACAGTAGTTCTAGAGATTCTTTAAAGTACAAGTCAAAAAACAAAACCCCATCAGGCACAGTGGTATACCCCTGTATTCCCAGCTGCTTGGGAGGCTGAAGCAGAAGGATTACAAATTCAAAGCCAGCCTCAGCATTTTACTGAGACCCTATCTCAAAATAAAAAATAAAAAAGGGCTATAATATAGCTCAGTGGTAAAGCATCCTTGTATTCAATCTCTAGTACCATGAAAAAATAAATAAATAAAAAGAAATGATTAATTAATTTCCTTTAAACACATCTCTTTCCACCAACATCTCCAAATTGGGTTGATTTGCCTCCTGTCAAAAAATAATCCAGGAAAACCAGGCATGGTGGTGCATACCTGTAATCCCAGTGGCTTGGCAGGCTGAGGCAAGAGGATCTCGAGTTCAAAGCCAGCCTCAGGAAAAGCGAGGCGCTAAGCAGCCCAGTGAGACCCTGTCTCTAAATAAAATATAAGGTAGGGCTGGGGATGTGGCTCACTGTCAAGTGCCCCTATGTTCAATCCCTGGTACCCCCACCCCTCAAAAAATCCAGAAAATAAAAAGTTATTGAATTGGTATGGTAGGATTATGGGAGATATCTTTTGTATGTATGTATGTATTTACTGGTACTAGAGAACCCAGGGGCACTTAATCACCGAGCCACCCCAACCCTTTTTATTTTGAATACAGGGTCTTGCTAAGAAGTTGCTTATTTGAAAGCGTTGAACACCTTTTCTAAAAATATGGCTTTGTTATTGCAAGGATGGGCCCTGAAATCAGACTTAGAGTTTTTTTTGGTTGTTGTTGTGGTGCTGGTGATTGAATCCAGGGCCCTAGTGCATTTGCAGCAAGCACTCTACCAACAGAGCTATATACCGAGACCCCAGACTTAGGTTTGAGTGAAAGCTTTGCCCCTTATTAGTTATGTATCCGAGGCATGTGATCATCTCTAAACCTCATCTGCATGTCACAGGTAGGGTAAGGATTAAATGAAAGAGCAAGTAAATGGGTTAAGCACCATGTTTGACACATGAGAACTCAAAGCAGCCTACTATTACTGAAAATTTTACTCCCTTGCTTCAAATAGTTCTGTCTTTAAGTGTTTTTTTTTTTTTTTTTTTTTTTAACCATTTCTCCATCCATTTCTTGAAGGACATCATTATTCCTACTGCTTTTTTCTCTATCATCTAAAATCTGACTTGGTCCAGGACGCAGGTACATATCTATAATCCCAGCTACTCTGGAGGCCAAGGAAGATTGCAAGTTCAAGGCAGGCCTCAACATCTTAGTAAGACCCTGTCTCAAAGTAAAATTAATAAAGGGCTGTGGGTGTAGCTCAGTAGTAGAGCACTTGTCTAACATATACAAGGTCCTGGATGTAATTCCCAGTAGAGCTTAAAAATTTTTTTTTTTTTAATTTTTTAAACAAGGGCTGGGGACGTGGCTCAGAGTTAGAATGTCCCTGTGTTCAATCCCCAGACTGAAAAATAAATATATAAATCTGACTTGGCAAATAATTCACAACTATCTGTTGAATATGAATAAATGACATCTCTTTCAAACTCCTGATCAGAATTCTCAATTATGTTCTGGAGATTTTCACCTATATTTCCCATTAGAGCTTAAAAAAAAGAACTAAAAGCAGAAATCACTCAGCTCATATTTCCCAAACCTTTTCCACCCAATCATGCCCCTTCTGACTTTCCCATTAGTTACTAATTCAGCATTTCCAAACAACCTGGGTTTGGCAATTTAAATTTAAATTCATCACTTGATTATTTTTCTTTCTTTCTTTTTTTGAGAAGGGGTCTTGCAATGTTGCTTAAACCAATCACAAACTTTTGGGCTCAAGCAATTCTCCTAAGTACTTGTCAGTACCTGGGACTGTAGGTTCATGCTACTTCACATAGTCATTACTTATCTTGAACCTCCCATAGAACCATATGAAAATTTTGTATATTTTTCTGGGCAACTGGAGAGGCTGAGGCAGGAGGATCACAAGTTCAAAGCCAGCCTCAGAAATTTAGCCAGGCCCTAAACAACTTAGTGAAATCTTGTCTCAAAAAAAAAAAAAAAAGGGATGGGAATGTGGCTCAGTGGTTAAGTGCCCTTGGGTTCAATCCCTGTGTACAAAGAAAAAAGAAAATTTTGTATATTTTATCTTTACAATGACCATGCTAAGTCAGACCATCAGGATATTCTTTTTTTCATTCCAGTGCTGTGTACTGAACCCAGGGGCTTTTTGCCACATCCCCAGTCCTATTTTGTATTTTATTTACTGACAGGGTCTCATTGAGTTGCTTAGCGACTTGCTTTTGCTGAGGCTGGCTGACTTGCCACCAATCCTGGCTATTTAATACTTTTTTTTAGTTGTAGATGGACACAGTACCTTTATTAATTTTTATATGGTGCTAAGGATTGAACCTAGGGCCTCACATGTGGTAGACAAGTGCCTACCACTGAGCCAAAACCCCAACCCTCTTTTTATTTTGAGACAGGGTCTCACTAAATTGCCCAGGCTGGCCTTTTGATCCTCCTGCCTCAGCCTCCTGAGTTGCTAAGTGCACCACTTCACCTGATTAGAATCTCAAAACATTCTTACCAGGACCACTACAACAGTTTAACTGTTCTACCCACCCCTGTATAGGTCCTCTGAACCTTTTTTTTTTTTTTTGTACTTGGTACAGGGGATTGAACCCAGGTGTAGTCTACCACTATGCTCCATTTCCATCCCTTTTTATTTTTTGAGACACGGTCTCACTAAGTTGCTTAGGGTCTTACTAAGTTGTGGAGGGTAGCCTCGAACTTAAGATCATCCTGGAAAATTCATTTTAAATACTATCTACTCATTCTTTTCTGACTTTCTCCATCCAGAATGTTCTAACTGCAAAATAAATTAACTTGAAATTCTTAAAAACAAACAACAAAAACAAACAAACAAACAAACCCAAACAAACACTGGAGGGCTGTGGCTCAGCGGTAGACTGTTTGCCTAGCACGTGCAAGGCGCTGGGTTCGATCCTCAGCGCCACATAAAAATAAGTAAAATAAAGGTATTGTGTTCAACTACAACTAAAATCTTAAAAAAAAATCACCGGAGTTTTTGTATATGTATCTTTTATTATTTGCAGTGCTGGGGATCCAACCAGGGCCTCGCGCACTCTAACACTACACCCCCCAACCCGAAACTTACTATTTTATTTACACCCACCACAACTCTGTTAGGTAGTTTTACTTTTCCTTATTTTGCAAATGAGGAGACAGATTTGGACTAGCATGGGGTGAGGGAATACCGGAACCCATCTCCGGTACGTTCAAATCAAAATTCCTTTTTCACTTCATCCCGTCCTTGACCCTCCTGCCGCAGCTCCCCAGGGCGGCCGAGCCACGGGTCTCTCCTTTGCAGATACTAACTTTGCTTTTCCGGCCCCCAGCTCGTCTGAGTATCCCCAGGTTCCAGGATTCTGTTCGTCCCTTCCGCACTGCTTCCACAGTTAACTTCTTCCTCACTGGGTCTTCTTCTCAAAGCCTCCTATCTAAACCCCCTTCCTCCTAAACCCGAAACCCCCTTCCTCCTAAACCCGAAACCCCCAGACTCACCACACACTAAGCCGGCGCGTGGGAACTCAACTGAAAAACAAAAGTCAAAATCAGCGGAGCCACTGAGCGTTCAAGAATCCGTCCAATCACCCGCGAGTTTACACGACCCTTTGGATTGCGCACCAATAAGAAGGCTGGTCCCACGCAGAAGCACAGCTCATCCCGTCTGGCCTCTCACCGCGCCAAAGTCGCCGGGAAATGTAGTGTGGCTTCTGCGCGTAGCCCTAGGCCAGGAGTCTGTAGCGCCCCCATACAGCAATTCCCTGTCACAAAACGCTAGTTCTGGAAGCTATGGGTTTAAGCTTCTATTGTTGTTCGGAGGATTGAACCCAAGGCATTTAAACATTGAGCTACAGCCTCAGTCCTTTTTATTTCGTGGTGGTGGTGGTGGTGGTGGTGGTTGGAGGGCAGGGGGCATTAATGGTCTCACTAAATTGCCTGGGGCCTTGCTAAATTCCTGAGCTAGCCTGGAGCTTGCGATTTTCCTGCCTCAGCCTCCCAGGTCACGAGGAGTACAGGTGCGCGTGCCTCCGGCTCCGGTTTAAACTTTCGTCCAACAACTTTGCTCTTATGAAGAATGTTGCATAAATGCCATGCATAATCATGGAATTGCTTACAGGAAAAAG